AAATTGTGGCCCGTCCCTCACGGAGCTCGGCCCACGACGGGCACCAGCGGAAGGCTCTAGCGTGGCGCAGCCAGATTTCCTCCGCGCGCCGCAACATCGGAGCGACACTGGCTCTCCAGCACGGGTCCTTCTCAAGCAGGCTGAGCTCCCCACGAGATCTGCCTTGGGCCCTCGGCCTCGCACGCGACATGGGGCCTCTGCGCAACGTCGAGTGCTCTCGGTCGGAGCCGCCGAAAATGCCCGAGCCATAGGCCCCGCCCGCCAGCGGGACCGCAGCGAACACCTCGAGCGTCTTCCTTCCAAGAGCCCCTTTGATTTTGCACAGGCGCTTGGTCTTACGACGGCGGCAATCCCAGACTTCAACTTCGCCGCGCGGCCTCTGCCAGGCGCGCGCCAAGCTCCGCCAGCAGTGAAATCCCCCCCCCCCCCCCCCCAAGTTGGCAACTCCCCCGGCGCCCCCCTCCGAGCCCACCAGGGGGCCAAGTTTCCGAACGAGCTGGGAGGCAACATCTTTGAAATAAGAAACCATGCCTATCTTATCCATAACCAGATTACATGTGAGTACTTCCGCGATCCCCTCGCGCAAGGCACGAGCACCCGCTGCCAGGGCTCGAAGAACAGATCTGGCCGCCCCCGCGCAGCTGAGACTCAGGTCGCCCACATAGGCATCGAAGTCCAAGCCGAGAAGACGAGGAACCTGATCCAAACAGTCCATGGCGAAGACTCTGATGATCTCGCGGCGAACGAACGGGCACTGCGAAAAAAAGGGGCACTGCACATGTCCTCCAAAAGAGACGCGCGCGACCGCCGAATAACCCCTGACCCCAAGGCGCGCGACTCCAAGGGGGAACCCGCGCTGCTTACATTTGCCACAGGTAACCTAAAAAAACAACATCCGACGCTCCTCGGTTCCAATGGGACGCGGGGCGCTTACCCCTCATGCCGCGGGCAGGGAGGGGGCGTCATGGACCCGGCTCAAGTCCTTTTCGGCCTGGTTGGCTCGCAAGCGATAACCTGGGGCGAGGAGGCGACGAGCTTCAACCAAATTGCCCCCCAGAGCCGCTTTGCGCGCCGCCCCAGAACGCCCCGGCGCCGAAGACCAGTCCCCAGGACAAGGCCGGGGCCCAACAAGCGGACGCTACGGGAGGTCAGGGGGGCGGCGGAAGGCGGGGGCCTTCAGAGCGGCCAGAGATCTGTGAAAAGGTGATTTTCACTGGCTTGTGATGGGGGGAGATCCGACTCTGCGGCGTCGCGGACCTCCTGCGTGCATCGGCTGAGCGACGCCGGGCAAGCGAACAAGTCAAACGCGTCAGGGCGAGCCCCGCCCGACGGGAAGTGCGCGTGGCCTGAGGCCGCCACTGTTGCCCCCCTCAAAAGCTCGGTCAAATTCGTTTGTGCCAGGGTGCAGGGGTCGAAATTTAAGCCCCCTCCCAAAGGGAAATCACATTCTTGCCTCAAAAAAAAACAACCAACACAACGAAGAACCTCCATATTACTATCCGAGAGCTCTTGATAGCGGCGCAGGTGGAGGGGGGCGACGGCGAAGGGGGGGCACCCGGGCACGCGCAGCAAGCCTGCAACAGCTCTGCCCTTGGCCAACACCACTTGCTCGGCCGTGAACAGCCCGGGCCCTTCACGCACAGCCGCCAGAACTCCTGAACTCGCACTTCCTCCTTCTCCAAGTAGACCTGGCGCCCAAATAATCCCAAATCCCCGAGCTTTACAGATCTGTGACTTGGTCGCGCATCATCGGGACCCCCGAGGCGATGTTCTTGCACAGGAGCCACTTGGGCAGAGGTCCCGCGCGGGAACTTACTTGCTGGACCCCAAAGAGTTCACCTTAATGGTGACCGCCCGCAGCTGAAACTCAGAGGACCCATCGAGCGGAAGGGGGGGCTCTTTGGGCTCAGGCCCAGCGACGCGGACAGGCACTTCAGGAGGCTCAATGGGGGGCAGGCCAGGACTGCTCTAGGAGTGGCGGCTTCTGAAACCTCCGACAAAAAACGCCTGAACCGCCTGATGCCCGCAAACTTGGCCTTCGAACCCATCGCCGAACGTAAAAATATGACCAATGGAACTCAATTCGCTGCCGCTCATGCTAGGAGACCCCCCCTCCAGCTGCTGGGGGGCGGGGGGCATCGCCAGGCGAAGCCGTCGAGGCATGAAGCGCGGCCGCAGCTCGCGCCCGAACATCCTCTCCAGCAGCAGCAGCCTCTCCAGAGGCAGAGGGCGATGCCGACGAAACCGAAGCGGACCCCGGCGAAGCGGAAAGACAGCCTGCGTCTCCACTTTGGTCAGGACCACCTGCAGCAGCCTCTCCATCATTGCGCTTGCGCCTCTTGCCCGCCAGCTTGGCCTTCTGCGCCGCGTGCGCAGCCTGCGCCGACTTGGCCTGATCGACCGCCTGCGCGAAGAGCTTCTTCGCCATGTCCGCGATGCCCTGAGAGAGGATCGACGAGCGAGAGGCCGCGTCTGCTTTCTCCTCGGCCGATAACTGAAACTCTGCATCCAGGTCCTCCAGAATGTCGCAGTTGATGAGCGCTGCCACATCCACCCTGCCAGACATGAACTCCTCGAACTGAATCGTGGGCGTCGACTCCGGCTGAATGCTGACATTCGAATCCTTTGCCAGCTTCTGCACAGCTTCCTTGTACTCCTTATCAGCCTTCTCAAGATACAACTTCGTACTCTGCACCTTGGCGACCTGCTTCGCGATCTCGCTCTGGAGGCGCAACAGACGAGCCAAATCCGTCTCGAACTACTTCTCCAGCTTTCGCACCTGTCCATGCTGCTGCTGAGCCGCCTGATGAGGCGAAGGCATATGTTTGGACTTGGTCTCGGCTGCGGCGAGGCCTTTCCCGACGTTGCTGTACCGGTGCGCACCTTTGGCATCTCCTGCCTTCTCACAGAGACGAACCAGCTCCTGCGCCTCCGCATCCGAAATGTTGGGGACAGGACCTGCCGGAAGTGGCGCGCTTGATGCGCCTTCAGCTCCTGAGCCCTGTGGCGCCCCAGCGAACGCAAGCTGCATGTCATCCTTGCACTTGCCCTTGGACACGCCGCCGCCTGCTCCACCAGCTGCACCCGCAAGTTGACCGCCGCGCCCAGCGCCGCCTCCCGCGAGCGAGAACCAGCCTGGAGGTCCGCGACGCTGAGGAACCCAGCCACCTTGAGCCACAGGAAAACGAGCAGGAGACAGCTGCGGCAGCGGGGCATGACAATGATAGCACCACTCTGTTCCCAGCTGATTCTTCTTGCAACCACACCCTGAGCACACGAGGCCTTTGAACTGCTTGCCCCTCTTACCTGCACCCCAGTATTTCCACAGTTCCTCTTCCTCCGACTGGCGAGCCCAAGGCGCGAGAGCGAAGGAAGGATGAAACACCATCTCAGAAGACACGTAACACAGGAGAAAGGCGGGTACAATAAAGAAAACGTGGTGAGAGATACACTGGCGGGAACCGCCAGGACGTGGTGGGGGCCGCAAGATCCCCCCAGCCAACGCTATGGACTTGAGCCAACATGGCTACCGACTTTCTTCCTCCTCCTCCTCCTCCTCCTCCTCCTGCTCCTGCTCCTCGTCCTCCTGCTCCTCCTCCTCCTCCTCCCTCCTTGCTCCTCCCACGGTCCACGGCCAAAGACCCGCCCGGCCCACGGAGGCGAAACCAAACACGGGGCGAAGGACCTCCGGCGCGCGCTCCCTGCCAGGGCGCCGGACGCGTAGGCCCTTGGCCTGCCTCCCTGCACCCCCGCCGAGCACCTACCGTTTCCTCTGGCACCGTAGCGTCGAGACGAACTCATCCGAGGCAAATGTGTCTGGGCGAACTCGATCGGACGACGTCTTCCGGACGAACTAAATCGGAAGACGGCTCCGTCTCCAGAGGCGAGGTCACCCGGACGGACAGAAGAAGTCAAAGCGGCATAAGCATAAAACGTTCGGCGCTCCGCGAGGATTTCTTGGATCAGCGCTGGACACCCCTCCCTGGCGCGCGGAGCGCGCCAGGGGCGGCGCCGGAGGCGCCGCCAGGGGGGCCCAGCACCGATCCAACAAATCCGTGCGGAACGCCGGTTTAGATCGAGCACGGCGGATCCGAAGTCGGGCCCCACCCATGACCCGCGCGCGCCCGGAGGCGGAACGCCGGCCCTGGGCCCGAACAGGACCAAGACCTCCGAGGTCTGGGGCCGCTCCCGCCGCAAGGCCCGGGTCCCAGGCTCCCTGCTCCTCCCTGCTCCTCCTGCGCCTCCTGCCCCTCCTCCTCCTCCTCCTCCTCCTGCTTCCCCTCCCTCCTCCTGCTGCTTCCCCTCCCTCCTCCTCCTCCTCCTCCTCCTCCTCCTCCTCCTCCTCCTCCTCCTCCTGCTGCTCCGGCTGCTCCTGCCGCTCCTCCTCCTCCTCCTCCTTCTCCTCCTCTTCCTCCTGCTCCTCCTCCTCCTCCTCCTCCTCCTCCTCCTCCTACTTATCCTGCCCCTCCTGATACATAGCCATCCAGGCTCAAGCCATTTTTGCTCAAGCCCTGCTTGGACCCCTCAGGGCCTGAGCGGGCTTGAGCCCCGCTGCCTGTCTGGCTCAGTGGCGCCGCCCTCCCGCGTGGGATCTCCCTCGGGGCGCGCGGCGGGCGCTCGGGTGGGGCCCGTCGTTGGCGGTGGCGCGCGGCGCAACATCCGACAGCTTGTCGGTGCCCCTCTCCCCCTCGCCTCCGTGTGCCTCCTTGGCGGCGGCGGCGCGGGGCTGCTGCCCGGCGGGGGCCACCAGGCCGGTGGAGTCAGCGGTCGTGGAGGAGCTCTACATCGGCGACGAAGCTGCGGATGACGACCACATCGGCGTTGGGGTGGACGGCAAGGGCGTCGGCTCCGCGAGTCGCTCCCGGGTGGTTGTCCTTGCGCTGGTGCTGGCGCACATTTCGGCCGCCGTTGGCGGCATGCGGGGCGGCCGTGGTGCTGCCGCGGCGGAGGCGGATGAGCGCGTGTGCTTCGTCGACTGGGTATTTGCGGGCTGTGAAGTG